GTGTCTTATAGGTTTCTGCATAAATGATGAGCGAATGATTAATTTGTTGAATTCTAGAGTACCTAGGGTTCTGCAAAAGATTTCAGATTGACTTTTCAGCTTATGTGAGAGGCTTTGTGGTTCATTAAAAATATATGTGTATTTTAGATAGCCAGTGTACTTTTTATTTAAGGGAAAAAATAATGCTATATAGAAATTCCAGTGAGTTGTATTAATCTGAAATTAAAAGTTTTGCCTCTTTAAAAATGAGTGGTTTTAAGTTTAAACCTAACATTTGATCATTTTGTTTAGGCTGACCTACAGGAAAATCAGTGAGAGGTCTTTCATTTATGTGCTTCTAATTATATACTAGTATAACCCCTATGAAGTAATGAAGTTGTGAAATGATGCCCCTGGTTGTCCTCCTCAGATGGTACTATTTAGCAAGTCATCTGAATATGGACAGGTGAATGTCCGATGTCAGTAGCATTTGGGAAGACAAATAAGTAAGTAAGTGCAGTTATGAACTGTACCAGGACTGAGAGGCCTTGATCCTTCTGGACTAGCCTCTCCAGCTTCCTCTTCCATTCATCACAGGGGTGATGCAGATGTTTCCCAAGTTTGACCTGCAGATTAGTAGAAGCAGCTGGAGCTCTTTCTTCAAAGGAAGATCTTTCAGAGCTTTCAGGGCTTGATAGGAAAGTTAAAAATTCTTTTCCATCATGATACTGATCTTATTTGCCTATTTTCTTTTTTCTGCCTATGACTTCTAAACATATCTAGAGTTACGTTTCATCCGTGCACCCCACTCGATTTAAATCAGCTTATCTGTTTCTTGTCCAATTCCTGTTTCTCATGTGATTCCTCTTCAGTTTATGAGTCCAGGAATAACCATATTTTCTGTTCTTGGAATAGTCCTAAGAACAGATTGATGTTTAGAAAAACTTGTTTGAGCACCGATTTCTAGGCTACGTCCTTTGTTTGCCCAGTCTGTTTCCTAGAAGTGATGATGTTGCTAGGGTCCTTGTGGCTTCATACAGTGAATCAGTTGTTTGGAAAATTCCCATGTACCCAAATTCTACTTGAATTCAGTGATGGACTCTTGCTCAGATGTTAGGAATATCTCCCAAGGTTATGATAATTACGTCCTTAGCTACACAATGCCTTAATTTCTTCCTATATAAAATTGCATTCATGGTTCTTATCTAGCTTTTGAGTCCTTTTAGAACTGAACAGCATTATTAATTTGTTTTTCTTGTTTGCTAGGAGAAAGAGCAAGTCCTAGCCTTGATAGGAATTGTTAATATACTTTAAAGACTCAATTTCCTAGCAAATAATTTAAATGTTATGAACTTGACTTTATCATATCTCAAGCTTTTGAACTCTTCTGTGGAAGACATACTCTAAAGAAGTCAGAAACTATATGACTCGTTTTTGCATTTCCAGCAGATTTGGACTAGTTGGTTCATCTGGTGCGATCTTTGCTCACATAAATGTATACAAAACCTTAAACCAGCCACTTCCTTTGCACTGGTTTTGCAATAGTCTTGTTACCGAAAATCCGAACAGAAGGTCTCTGACACAATTTGTAATGTTAGAAAGCGGGCACCAGATGCATGGGGGATATCTCCTCCTGGCATGCACACCTGGCCCCTGGACAGAAACTTAGTTACACACTACAATCATGCACATTCATAACATGTTTACATAGTCATTGTTATTCTCTTAAACAACTGGTTAATTTTCTCTTGCTTTACATGTAAATTACTTCGCATGCTCAGTTCTCTTCCTTCGCCCCTTTCTTTTGGGTGTGAGGTATGTTTAGAGTGGGTGGTCTATGAGTTGGTGGTCACAATCTTCCTCTGCTGGAATTACCTTTTCCCCAAGTCACTGCTGCACATGTTCACAATTCAGAAAAACATGAGAACAAAGTTTGTACATTTTCTGGGATGTTCCCTTCAAGGACAACCAGTTCTTGATAGAGTCTCCCTCCCAATTAGTTCTGGCATCTTCAAGGATGGTCATCTCATTATGTTCTTTAGGTATGTGCAAACTGCCTACTAAACCCTTCATGAAATTCTTAACACAAAAATTTTAATCCCTTCATTGTTGGATAACAGTCTTATTAACATAGTTCATGTGCTTTGTTACCACCATAGATCAGGAGTGATTTAAGAAGTTTTCTGGCAACTCCACTCACATTATTCTTTAGGGACTTAGGATATTCACCTTCCCTGGTTCAGCCTGCAGAGGCAGCTTTCTCCATGACACTGGTCAAGCCTGTACATATGCCACAGCACAGGGCTGGACAAAAAGGGTACAGTTTGTTGTTCCTCTGTATCTTTTGTCCTCTTTCTAATAAGGAGGACTGAAGTGCAGGAAGAGTACAATAAAGGGTATGAAGAGTAAAATTAATCTACTCTAATTTTGGGGATATAAAAATTCAGAACAGCTAGACTGCTTTATTTGCATGGGCATCTTCTCAAGTCAAGCCAATAAAAAGACAGGAGCACTTCCACAGGGAAATTTGTTTACCTTGAACATTTAGGCTAAAATGGAATGAATCCTCTTCCCACTCCAGAATGCCTGTTCCTTTGCAGAGGAAGTTCTTTAATTTCCTTTACCTCAAATACTATGCTACTTCACAGAGATGTTGCCCAAACTTAATAAATTTATAGTTAAGGTTTTGTCTACGTGATGATCACAGCCAGTGATCACATCCACAAGGAATTTATCTACCATTGCATTTAGCTCCTTTAATTAAATATCTTTCAGAAACAGATATTTTTTAATAGAGTTACAAAGACCACAAGTATTTCCTTCAAACTTAACAAAACTGCTTTGTAATTTATAACTGAAACATTTTATGCACTGCTTTTTACTTCAGTGTATCATGACTGAAATTTAGCAGTAAACCTGGCAAGTTTCTCTTGCTTTGAGAGGATTGTTGAGAAATGTAGGAGAAAACTTTATACAGTTTCTTGTGTTGTCAAAAATTAGTTGATCCTTTTGAGGTATGAGAAAAGAATCATCCTAAGGATTGTTTTTATTCCTGCATGACTTAACACAGCAAATTTGAATATGCTTACAAGAATGCGATAAAATAAAATAAGGAGAATAGACAGCATTACAAAGAACAGAAATAAATCACAGAAAATAAAGTAGAGGACATTCGTCTTAAAGGGGACAGTTGAATGCATGGCCAGATCTGTCCTGCACTCCTTTCTATGTAGACTGTCCTGGAAATGTTAATAGTTTCTCAACAAGAGTCAAAACCTGAGATGGAAAGGTATGGCCCAGAAGGTTGTGGAGCTACGTAAAGCTGTATTATAAATCTTCTAATTAAAAGAATGGCTGTGCTACAGCAAACCAAAGGGAATGCAACGTGCAGCTTTCTGTCATGTACCCCACCTCATATACCCAGCACAGCTGGTCAAAAGAAGAACACTGAGTGCTATTAGCAAGTGCCAGTAGTGATCGCGATACTTCCTCATTTGTGTAGTACAGAAACGTGATATCAACAGTGGACTGCACTGATAATTTCCAGTATCACAAATCTGTATTTTCACAGTTAGAATATGTGCCTAACACTACCTTAGATAAGTCCCTTCTTGTGAACTTTGGTGAAAATTGCTCAGAAATGCTTGATATACCTGTGGGATACCAGAGTTGGAGTGTCACAAGCTGTATGTGCTCACACGTGCCTGTTTGTCTATATATGTTTATGTGGGAGTGATTTAACTTAAATACAGTTGATGCATGTTTGTGCTGTTTCATTTGTATTCCAGCACATGGTATCTCCATGTGTTCCCAGGGCTGAACCTGCCCTGCTGGCCTGACAGTCTGTGTGGTTATTTGGCTAGAGATGAGAAGTTTCTCTTGTATGTGAGGTGTAATACTGGGGAGGATTTGTTCTTATAGAGTTGCCAAGCTTGGGAGAATGGAAAAGTGGGAGTGATGGAAATGAGAGTGATGTGCCTTTTAGGATGGTGCACCTCAGCAATTAGATGAGGCAAGGGCATTGCTTAGACCACCGTGAATGCAGAAGAATAGCTGTTTGTCCTTTGACCACACTGTGAAAAGTGGTGCTCATTGCAGGAGCATCAGTAAAAGTGGCAGCCTTCTAGAATAGCTTCTGTGGGTGAGCATGTATTTCTTCTTTGAAAACTCTGGTTTCTGAGTGAAAGTAGAACTATTCTGGGGTGTCAACAGATTTAAGACCAGCAGGGAACATGCCATTCTTTGCTGTATGAAGGAGGAGAGCACATTATATTTTTGGATTTAGATATTCCCCTAAGATGGTGGGGGGATAGGGACGCTCCAACACATGTGCAACACCCAGAAGAGGAAAAGGAAAGGCAGGATGGCAGCTAAGCTCTGTCTCACTATCCACGCCAAAATGGGAGCCTCACTATCTCACAGGGCAGAGCAGCTCCGCATTGTTGCCAACAAGAACCACAGACCAAGGTGCCACAGTTTTGTCCTCAGTAAAGGAAACATAATCTCTAATGAGAAATCAAACCTTGAGGTATTAATTCATTTTCATTTTCCAGGGTGGCAGTCTTGGCAAAGAGATTTTACTCACTATATAGCAAGGTCTCTGTGACAAATTCTGAAGAAATACAAGTTCAAGTGTTTTTGGATTTCACAAGCACATGAGCTCAGTGAGAAAGAACAGACTGAGATGGCAAGGAGAACAGCCAATCCTGTTATATTTGTCTTTCTTATTACTGACTTGCCATGATAAATATGGAAAATTATATTTGGCTAGAAGGAGGCTGAGAAAGGGAACAGATGGCCACCAAAAGAATACTAGAGCAGCTAATAGTCACTGGCATATTTCCGGGATAAAAATTTAAATCTGAAGCCAAGCAGAAGGGTTATCCATTTTTTTTCTGATCAGAGTACTGTGCATGAAACTGATCCTGCTATGCTCTGACTAGATGAAGGTGGGCTTCCTGAAATGCATTCGCCGAATGGAATAAACAACAGCTATCCTGCAGTTAACGGCTCTTGCAGTTATGCTGACAGAAATAGTTGACAAGGTGGGGAAAACGTTTATGTTCCTACTGTATTTTGAGTATATGGCTTTTTAATATATTGCATGATTTAACATCTACATTGCATTGTCTCTATGTAGTCTACAGGCTTTTTTCAGTTTTGATAAAGGACAGAGAGAAGAAAGTGCCCATATAAATGATGAGACAATAGAGTCTATATTTTATATAGTTGTGTATTTTATGATTTCTAGAATTCTAATGCATTTCTGATTTCTATGATCAAATGGGAACTGAAAAGAATAAGCTGACATTTTGGGAATTATGACAATGTGACACAGTTACTGATTTTGCAGAATGCTGTACGCTCAGTACCTAAAACTCCTTATGACTGCAGACTAGTAGTGAATGAGGACATTGTTCTGTTTCTTGAGTGATAATTGGAATTAGCAAGATAATGACCAGTAATACATGATTTGAAGGACTGGAATAGCAGGAGGTGATAATTTATGATTGAAGTACAGCATTGGAGCTGTAGGACAGGCCGAGTGCTATAGGAGTAGGACAGCCAGGAGTGAAATGGAGTCAAATAGCAACAGTTGCTGCAGTTTTTCTTTTGTGTGCATCTGCAAGAATTAAACCAGTCACAACAGCTCAGCTTTAGATCCCATACGAGATGTACAGGATTTTGATAGAGCAGCAGCTGATGGCTTACCTGGATCAAGACCACCAAATAAGTCACTGTTGTGGACTAACTGATGAATCCACCTGCTCTCCATTCAGCCACTGGCAGGACTGTTGAAGGCATAGATCAGTTTTTCCACTGGTAAAAGATTGTGCTATTTACCTATTTGGAGGAATGTTATAAGGGTTGATCAGTTATTAATTTTAAGGTGTTTTGAATAAATTGCTCAAAGAGCACTGAAGAACAATAAACTGTTAATAATAGGTTTTGGGAAAGAGAGAAAAAGAGAATCACAAATTTCCATGATTAAAAAAAGGCATGGCCATGGGCTAATGGACTGATTTTGCTTTTGCAGTTCAAAAAGAGAAAAGTCCATCTCAAAATATTGGTAATCTTTACCCAGCGAATGGAAATTAAATGGTCTCCAAATTCTGGCAGCACATCTTGGAGCTCACTCACCTGCTTCCTTAGCTCTTGCTGAGTTTTAAATACAGTTTAGTGAATTGTTCATGCTCTTGTAAATACAATATATTTTGAAATTTATATTCAGTAATATAAACATAATTGCATAGCCTTTTAAAAGTATTGCTAAGAAATAAAATGCCATTTGGAAAGAAGACTGCAGTTTATACAGGTATGTGAAGTCCACTGTTTCTTTGGTTTTCAGTGATAGCTGTTTCTCTCTCAAATCCTGCTTTTATATTGACTTGTAGTTAGAAAAGCACAAAGTGGTTAAGAAACTGTCTTTAAACAGAGTGTAATGTTTTCATCAGCTTCAGAAACTGAAAAATAAAGCTAGCTGGGAATAAAGTGTAGATGAGGTTTGGGAGAAAGTGTAACTCGCACTAAAATTAATAGTCTTTTTAAGACCTAGGTTGATACATCTAGTAGAGTTATTAATGTGGATCCCAGACTCCTCTTCAGAATAAATGTGATTCTCCCTTGAAATGCAGGATACGTAGTTTGCATGTGAAGTGTTTGTCTGTAAAAATACTCTGGCATTGGGTTTTCCATGAATCTTCTACATAAATTCACACAGGAGGATAGTGGCTGCAAGGACATTGGGTACACTGGGCAAAATATATCATGCTCTAGGTGGCATTTGTTGTGGTGGCTCTGGGGATGTTTTGGATTTGCAGTACATAATCTCTTACCCCTGGCCAGCTGATCTCTAGTTCCAAAGATAGGAATCACTGACTCTGTTCTGAAAAGATATCATAGAATCATAGAATCATAGAATGGCATAGGCTGGAAGGGACCTCAGAGATCATCTAATCCAACCTCCCTGTCACGGGCAGGGGTGCCTCTCAACTAGATCAGGCTCCTCAAGGCTCCGTCCAACCTGGCCTTGAACACCTCCAGGGAGGGGGCATTCACAACCTCTCTGGGCAATCTATTCCAAAGTCTCACCACCCTCGTACTGAAGAATTTCTTTCTAAGATCTAATCTAAATCTGTTCTCCTTCAACTTAAACCCATTTCCCTTTGTCCTGTCAGTGGACACTCTTGTAAAAAGTCCCTCCCCAGCCTTCCTGTAGGTTCCCTTCAGGTATTGGAAGGCAGCTATTAGGTCCCCCTGAAGTCTTCTCTTTTCAAGGCTGAACAATCCCAGCTCCCGCAACCTGTCCTCGTAGCAGAGGTGCTCCAGCCCCTGGATCATCTTTGTGGCCCTCCTGTGAACACACTCCAACAGATCTATGTCTATGTCTTAGTACCTTTCCCTTTCCTAATATTCTCCACTGTTCCACAGATATCCATGAGCTTTCCTCTCAGGCTGTACCCTATTAGCATATAAAGCCTAAACTCAGAGTTGCGCTCAGTTTCTTCTGGATCTGAAGTTTACTCTTTAAGCTTGCAGAAGGACTTATTTATTTGTGGGGTTTTCTCCCCTGAATTTTCAAATGAAAAGAAAGAGAAAATACCTGCCACGGACATTAACAGCACAGCTGTCCAAAGGACAGTTTCTACCTGGTCTTCCCAGCTTTAGTGGTGTCTTCATGGTTGACAGTGAGACGATTGAACCTGCATGTCAGAAGGCAGCATTTCCTTCATGTGATCAGGTAGATTTGTATATAGAGTTTTCTCTCTGTATTTAATTTGGAAGTGTCTCCTAGAAGTCTCTAATCTAACCTCATCTCCAAGGATGGAGATCCCACAGCCTCTCTTAGCACCAATTCCGTACTTACAGAGCAGGATCTGTCAGAGCCATTGCACGTGTATCTTCAGGCTGATTTGCGCCTTTGTAGCAATGACGATGAGCCCTGGACATGTCAGGGACACTGTATGTGCAAGGATCCGTTCATACACAAGCATCCCTCACCCACTACAGCTCTATATATACGCAATGTATTGGCACCCATGCAGCAGTATCATCTGAGTTGTCCCTTCTTCTTCCAGGCTCAGACAGAGGTCTCTATCAGCGCAGCTAGGCTGCATCATGGCAGATGTTTTATGTCACTAGCCAGTGCAAAACACATTAAGCATAGTCGTCCAGTATGCAGACATATTTTTATGTGGACTAACTGAAGTCCGTGACAAAGGCCTTTAAAAGTGAACCCCTGGCACTGATACCGGCACTGGATAGGCTTAAAGTCATTTTGAAGAGCAATGACTTTATCATCAGCAGGTGCTCTGCCCATTTAATGCTGTGTGAAAGGTAGAGGCTGTGAATCCCTGACTGCAAAACAGATAAAGAATACCATGCTGCTTTTATTTAGGTATTTTTAATCCCCAGTTCACATCTGTAAGATGATTTGGGCTGCAAATTCGTTATTTTGAAACCTTAAATTAACGTTCCCCACTCATGTCTCCTAGTTCTTCTGCTTCTAGAGAAAACATTGCCATTCTACCACTTCAAAACTTCTATAGTGGACCTGATGTGTCTACCTGGATAAAGATGGGGTTTTTTGAATGTGAGTGGAATGACATTGTGTCTCAGAGCCCAGGGACAAGGCAACACATTTGAGCAAACCCAATGGGATTCACTTCAGCCTAAAGAGCAGAGCTCCAAGCTGCTGTAGCGACGGAGTTTTCCGTATCTAAATTATTGTAAAGATTTCTGCAATTCACTACAGTCTGTTGTTGGACAGAAATGTACAGTGCTACATGTTCATCTTTATAGAAAAGCTGCTAAAAGCACTAGTAGAATCTTAAAAATTATGAGCTGATTAGGGCTTTCCTCATGTTTCTTTTTTTTTTGTATCTGTTGTTAATATTGTTTGTCCATTGGAACCAATGGATTTTTTTCTGTATGTCAGTAAATTTAAACATTGATTTGTATTTCTATAAAATCTGTGCCACAAGTTGAATCAGTTTAATGCTGCTATTAAGAATGGATGGGTTCACAATCTACCTTGCGAGGCATTTTAAAGCTGTCCTTCCAAGCAGCCTCACTATCTGCTTTCAAGCACATATTTAGGGATGGCAAAACCCCCCCCTTCCCCTCCGCTAAGCACACGGGCATATCAAGCATGCTGAGAGGCATAATAGGCAAAGCAAGCTGTCTCTGCACCTGCCCACAAAACAGCTGTTCAATGGAGAGAGGAATTGCTAGAGCATAGAGCATTTTCAGCAGCTTTTTCAGTGGTCCCCTCTCATACACTGTGTTGGCACAGACATTGCCACAAAGGAAAGAAACACAGAAATCATACAGGGGTTTCAGGATTTTTTTTTTTTCCAATCATTTTTATTAAAGCATCATTTCATGTTTGCAGTCTTCCCATGTGGATGCATTTTCTCAGTCTCAACTGACTGTTCAAGAGAGAGATCATCTGGGATCTAACAGAGTCTTCCATCAGGTACGTGACTCTTCAGCTGCCTTAAAAAATATCTGAATGCTTGTTTTCTAAGAGACTCCTTATAATAAATGAATCTGAGCAGAGGGAAGTCCTTTCTTCCCTGCCCTCTTCCATTTCCCCTGTAGCTGTATGACTCTCCAAAGTGCCTACGAGTATTTTGGTTTTGTTAGCTGTTCAGTAGCACTTGAGGCATTTCTTCTGCCTAGCCACTTCTGTTTCTTGAAGCTTTCACAAAAAGTCCACTGGAATCTCAGATCTAAGGTTTTAAAGACTTTTCCATAGTATTGGAAAAGAAAACTTATTCTTTCAAGTGGGTTGAATTGAGAGCTTCATTTCTTCACTTCTTGAAAAAAAATACCAAACCTCTCTTTTGTTGTCAAAAGCTTGACAAATATATTTCTATCCTTTCTCCATGACAGCAATTTCACAGGCTTACATGGGTTGTAGCCTTAACTCTCTGGACCGTGTTCTGCATTTGAGAGCACATAGTTGATCTATTTCGGATGTATTTAAAATAATTTTGGAATGATTTGCCAAAGTCATGGTCTACCTCAAAAGTTTTCTTTGCTGATAAGAGTGTGATTTCTCTCACTTTAGCTATCCAAGAATATTAGAGGTCCTAACATTCATAAAACCACATCCTTAACTGACTGACTTTAAAGAACAAGTGGTATAGAAATGTTTTGCAAATAACAAATGGGAGAAGTCTAAAGGAAAGACTAATAATGCTGGAGTTTTCAAATGAATATAAGTATTTATTTTTCAACAAAGTTTGCAGAGAGTGTGCCTTTTCCTCGCTAACAAGGGCTGCAACAAAGGGGCCTAGACAAAGAGAACTCCATGGAAAAGGAAGGGGAAGGAAATATTGAGAAACCAGTGCAGGGAAGACCCTTCCACTGTCTCCACTCATGGTGTTTGGCAACAGCCCAGTCCCAATTTCTCTTCTACCATTGGGAGTAGCTAATTGTGTTGCCTGCCATTTACTCTTCATGCCTGCTTATTACCCTACATACACTTTATTTTCCCCACTAACAGGAGTCCTGCTGCCTGCAACGGCTGTTCAGTTTCCAAGTCCAACCACCTTTTCCAGCTGAGGCAGGCACTGCTCTGATGCTGGACAGAGATGCTCTTGCAGGGAAACCTTCATGCCCTAAAAGGTGCCAGGCTGCCCGATTGCCTGGACTACATCCTTCTCCCCATTAGTACAACTGGGAGCTGACGGGAGAGTATCTGCTCATTTCCCCTTCGCCATTAGGTGTCAGAAGTGAACCATGCACATTTTCCAAGGTTTTAAATCCCTCTGTTTTTCGAAGGTGTTGCACAGAATTGGTTACTGGGTCGTGATGTAATATTTACTTATGCTTTCTGCTTAGAAACTCAGTGGCGGTCTTCTTTCCTTCCCACATCTGGAAGGTCAAGCAAAGCATGGTTTGGTTGCAGACACTGCAAACCCTTCACCCCTTGAATGCAGCCTGCCTCCGATAACGAATAAGAGCTTGAAGAACATCCTCCCCTCTCTTCAGGTGAGTTATAGAGCTCATAGACATCTTGAGCTTGAGTGGTTAATCAGCTTCTTTCTAGTACTGCTAAGAGAGTCTCAGTGGTAAAGTGTCACAAGTGTGTTTGTGTGTAGGAAGAGCGAAATAATTTAGTGCCAGCATTTGCATCTGTTTGTGTTTTCAGCCATAATTAAAGAGGAGAAAAAAAAAAAAAGGAAGAACTATAAACAGTCAAATAGATAAATTGCTTACCAGCATGGTGGTGTGCATCTCCAGATATTTTAATGGACACCCAACAACACGGGGGGTTTTTGAAGTAATCTTCACTTTTGGTGTTCCGTCTTTCTCATTATTTTCACAAATCCTGTGTCCATCCATTGTCTGAACTCTTCTTCCTTTGCTCCTTCTCTCCCCAAGAAATCAGAGACCTGCACTGCTCACCACCACTACTCTGATCACTCCTTTTTTCTCTTTTCCTCTGCTTTGATGGAGTCTCTTTATTGAGATACTTGACAGGTTCCACAAGGCTCTGATATGAAGTCTTTTCACATCTCTTGCACTGGAAGTCCCCACATAATGCATTTTGTTTTGGTGGTCAAGAGCCTTTTCAAATACTTTGCCTTTGAAATTGGCAGCTTGCTACTACTACAGAATTATTTGATTTGGTTAGGAGTGTGTGTATCTGCTACCTCATGTTCAGGTTGTTGTCAGGCCCTTCCCTGCAAAGCTACATCCTTTCGTTTGTTCCCCAGCCTGTCCTGTTGCATGGTGCAGGACTTAGCGTTTGCCTTTGTTCAACTTCAGTTTCTCTACTGTGGGGGACAGTGTCACAGGTCTTGCTGAAGTCAAAGTATACAGCATCCACTGCTTCTCTCTCATTGCCCAAGCCAATCACTTCATCACAGAAGGCAATCAAGTTCCAAAATCTCATCTTTCACTTGCTTGGAAAAGGCATCCAAGAGGAATTGCTCCATAGCCCCCCAGGGCCTGAGGTAAGGCTGACCAGCCTGTAGTTCCCTGAAGCTGCTTTCTTGCCGTTTTTGAAGGTAGGTGTGATGTTTGCCTTTTCCAAATGGTCAGGAAGTGCTCTGGATTGCCATTGACTTTCAAAGACGATAGCAATCTGCCTTGCAATGACATTGGCCAGCTCCTTTCACACTCTCAGGTGCACCCCACCTGGTCCTGCATTCTTAGGTATGTCCATCTACTTAAGTGATCCCTATCTATCTTCCTCTGCTGCAGGTAATTCTCTTTATGCAAACGCTACTTCTAGATTCAGGGACGTGGGAGGCCTGAGGGCAAAACTTACCAATGACAAGCATTGAGTACCTTGGTCTTTTCCAAATTCTTGGTCACTAGGTCCCAAATTCCACTGGGCAGTGGGTTCACATTTCCCTTACCTTCCCTTTTTGCTGGTCATGTACTTACAGAAACTGGTTTTGTTGACTTTCACATCCCTTGCTAGCTACAATTCCAGCTGAGCTTTGGCTTTCCTAAACACACCTGCCTGTTCAGATAGTGTCTCTTTCATGTATCCCAGATAACCTGTCTCTGCTTTCACCTTTTTTATGCCACTTTCTGTGTTTGCACCTAGTCAGAAGTTTCCTTTTCATGCATGCTGACCTTCAGCAATGTTTGCTCAAATTTCTGCATGTTGGAATGGACTATTCTTGTGCTTTAAGGAGATTGACTTCAAAGACGAATGATCTCTCCTGATTTCCTTTGCCTCCAGGGCAGTCTTCCATGCCTTTATGATGAGAAGATCCCTGAACAAGCCAAAAGTTGCTTTCCTGAACATTAGGATTTGTAGTTCTGCTGCTTGTCTCACTTTGCTGAGGTTTTTAAACTCCATGATCACAAAGTTACTGCAACCAAAGTAACTGACCTTTATATCCTGCACCAGTTGTTCCTTGCATGTGAGTAACAGGTCCAGCAACGCATATCAGATTACCTGTGTTAAGAACACGGTTCAGAAATCTCCCAGAATGCTTTTGCCACTTCAGCAGATATTGAGGTGACCGACTTACCCCATGAGTATCAGGGCCTTTAGGTTATGATGTCTCTTTCCCAGTGTACCTAAATAAAAGCTGTTCTCACTAGGTTAGCAAAGCTGTTTGCAGACACTCTTGCCTCACTTCGTCAAATGGATCATAGAATCATAGAATGGTTAGGGTTGGAATGGACTTTAAAGATCATCTAGTTCCAACTTCCCTGCCATGGGCAGGGAAACCCTCCATTACACCAGACTGCCCAAAGCCTCATCCAACCTGGCCTTGAACACTTCCAGGGATGGGATGTCTACATCTTCTCCGGGCAACCTGTTCCAGTGCCTCATCACCCTCTGGGTGAAAAATTTCTTCCTTATATCTAATCTAATTCTGCCCTCTTTCAGTTTAAAGCCATTGCCCCTTGTCCTATCGCTACATGCCCTTGTAAAAAGTCCCTCTCCAGCTTTCCTGTAGGCCCCCTTTAAGTACTGGAAGGCTGCAATAAGATCATCCTGGAGCCTTCTCTTCTCCAGGCTGAACAGCTCCAACTCTCTCAGTCTGTCTTCATAGCAGAGGTGCTCCAGCCCTTGGATCATCTTCGTGGCCCTCCTCTGGACCTGCTCCAGTAGTTCCATGTCCTTCTTGTGTTGGGGACTCCAGATCTGAACACAGTATTCCAGGTGGGGTCTCACGAGAGCTGAGTAGAGGGGCAAAATCACCTCCCTCAATCTGCTGGCCACGCTTCTTTTGATGCAGCCCAGGATACGGTTGGCTTTCTGGGCTGCCAG